CAAAACGGTTTGATTTAGGTTTAAACTTTTCTCAAACCGGACAAAACGGTTTGGTTTAAAAATTTGTCAAAAACCGCAAAAATCGGACCGCTTACACCCTTAAATTAACCCCTTTGATATATGAATTAATCTATGTATATACTTTGTGATGTGAAACATTTTGTACACATAACATTTTCTTTGATATATGAACTACGGTTATTTGCTACCTACGTGTCTAGGTAGGCTAATAGTAGAGGTGGCATTTTTGCCCCCCATTTAGTCCTCATTATTTCATATTATAGTTTTTGAAATAATATTTTTTTTTAAAATATGCGATTAAAAAAGAAGAAAATCTTTTTGATTTTCATGTAATATTATTTTATGAAAATTGTGTAGTTTAAAATAAGAGAGAGGAGAACAATTTTTTCAGATAATGGGGGCCAAACAGGGGCTTTATCAAAACCACCCTACTCGAATTAATATGTCTGTATTATTTGTTTCAGTCCACTTTTCAGTTAAAATCAATTGGAGAGATTGAAGAATAAAATTATTTGATTCAAAAATTATAATCCAATTATATTTCACCACATCATGTATATATAAATCATTATGTACATGTAACAAACCGTTATGACATTGTATCAAAAATCGAGTTGTTCTAGTCTGATAATGTGTTCTAGCTACTACATAACAAAATCTGATTTGGTATCAAGAATATTTCTTTCAATCTCGCAATTATATCGTAATTTATATGCATTTAATATATTCAGAATAATTTAGAGTTTCATGATTTAAAATATAAAGTTTAAAAGTGAAACAAGAAATTAGAAAATAATTTACACTTAAAAATTTTATTTTGAAGCATAAAAGATGGAACCAAATATCCAAATTTATTGGGTTCATGAGAAAATAGGAACCGAATGGACCAAAAAGTCACATTCGTTTTTAAAAAAAATACTAGTTTCTTGCACGTGCGGTGCACGGATTGTGTTGTTATTTTGAAGGTAATGTTAGTGTGTTTGGTGTGAAGAATTAACGAAGAGAAAAGACCTTTCTGAAAAAGAAACAAACCTAAACTGAAGAAAGAGATAAGCCAAAAATGAAACCACTATGAAATTTGACATAACTAAGGTCGTCGGTCGTCTATTTCAATACCGATTCTCTCGTGCTTTTGGAAACATGAAGAAAACTTCGAAATGACAATAGGTAAAGAAATCCCATTTAATAATAAATCTGATGAAAATGTAACAAAACACAGAAGAACGTCGCGATGATTTGTACAAATAATTTGGAAGTAGCCTATCGGCTTCTTGGGGTTAACCACCACATTGACTCCTTCCAACCCCTTCTCCACCACCTTTAAGTCTTTAACCCATCAATTGCACCTCCATCACAACTCTAACCTACTGCCGAAGCTCGAATAAAAACATGTTAGATATTTTTTCATAATTTATTTATTCGTTTACTGTTGTTATGTAAATGGTTTGTCTACTGGAAGTTAATGTTTTTCTCCAACAAACACACTCATTCATTCCCTTGGCATCATCAGTTCTCTCATATAGTGTTCTCTTGATTTGAACAAACCATCACAATTTGAATCAAACACTTCCATTGTATCCTGAAATGGATTTTCATTTAAACCTCCTTGTGACATCTTTGGATAGGGGAGAAAAATCTCTTAAAAGATAACGATTTACGTGCCTTTGAGTTTCTTCAGATTCTCATATTGTGTTTGGGAACAGGGAGATGCTCCTCAATGGAAAGAAAAAGGGAAAGGAAAGTGGAAGAGAGGGGAAAGAGAATGGTTTCTTTCTTGAAATAGAAGATAGGTAAAAGTGACTACAAAAGTAGATTGAGGGAGAAGAAATTTGACCTCGAGCATAGCTGGAATCCACCTTGTGACGTGCCGCGCGAAGTTAGATCTCCGTGTGTGCAATCCGCGCCGTTTGCGTGCTGCATGGATGCTCTCCACTACTCTGCTAGGTCGTTCAC